AGTTTAGACTGCCCACAAAAAAATGTAATAGAAAGGGAAAAAAAGGAACAGTTGGTCAGTGGGTAGATTAACTGAAATATTTATGTACAAGAAAATAAAATTAGCTCTGATAACAGCATGGCGATCGTACAGCATGTGTAATAACAGAGGAACAAAACATAAGAGTGATTGTTCATGGGAGGTTATGGTATATTCCTCATGCTTTAATGTTCAGAGAGGTGGAAAGAAAATACTGGATTCACAAGCTAAAATAAAAATAAAAACAAAGCAGAGAAGCAAGTGGGAATAGAGACAGAGTGGAAAGGGAATTGGAGTGATGTGAGTTTTCATGGGAACCCTAGGGACGTCTGTAATGAGCTGGAGGGAGGCATGTTTGCCTTGCTTGGTTTACAAAGAGATATGACCCTGTGATATACACAGTGGGGCTTTTTAACCACTCCCACACACATCCATATAATACTGGACTCAAAGGAAACCCAAGGCAGTCATCTCAATGAAGACAGAGTTACCAAGAATGAGATTTTGCAACAGTGTAATGGAGGCTTCTTAAATGTGTGGCACTGAAAGAGAACAGTTCAGAGCAACATCGTGAAGTTGCTTCCCACAGGTAGCAGAACACCAGCTTGTCCTTCCACGGCAGAATACAAAGGGTTCAGAATAGCAGAACATTAAGCAGTCAGGTAACAGTCAGGTTAGCTGCTCTGTATTATCACTGGAATCATTCTGTGTCTTTTGTTGAATGTGTGTAGTTTGCAAATATACACATTCAAGAAAAAAAAAAAAAACACACTATAAAACATAACTTGTTCAAACCAAGTCTAAAAAAAGTTGTGTATTTCTCAAAAGTACATTACAAAGAAATCAAAGAATATTATACGACCAAAAACAAGACTAACTCCAGATTAAATGGTTGTGACAGCAGTTCTAAATGAGATACAGTTGAAACCAGACGTTCACACTAAGAATACAAAGAACCTCTTTCCTCTCCCTGTCTAACATCAAATCCATTTAAACTTTTCTGCTTTCAGGTCAGCTACGATTATCAGAATTATTTGCATTCGTTAAAAAGACTGTCACTAATGTTAAGGCTAGCTAGATGACTGAATAAATAGTTCACCTGTAAGGGGAAGTTGTTTCTCCTCCATTACCAAATGGAACAGCATGTACACAAATGTGACTGACACTGCTAATAGCTTCCTCCTGGTTATAATTGGCTGATTTTGACCGGGAACAATGTATTCCTGCAGATTGTAGCTCAGGAAGAAGTTTTTTTTATTTTTATAGAAGTTACATACCGCAGTGCATGTAAACTCCAAAATTTTAATTTAATAAATAATAAAATAAACAAACCTCAAGCAAATCTGTCACTCTATTTAGCTAATGGAGAAAAGCTGATAATGTCAGTAGAGGAACTGTTTCTAGATCCATTCATTTGTCCATCTCCACTCATCCTTGCAGGATCCCAGGGGGATGTGGCACCTATCTCCAGCTGTCAGTGGCTCGTGCACCCTGGAAAGGTCGTCGGTACGTCACAGGGCACAGGGCAGGTGCTAGGTATTATGATTAATTTAGCCCAGGTGATGAACAAGCAACATGTCCAGGGTGTTCACTGGACATGTTGTTCTCACGCAATGGTCGCTTGAAATAGGCTGCAGATCACTTATAACCCCCAACCCCCTCCCAAACCCTGCATTGATATGTGGATATAGGCAATGGATGGATGGATGATTAATTCAATATTTGCTGTAGGCCACATATTCACTTTAGTCCTCAAATTGTGCCTCTTTAAATCCCAAAAGTTAAACTCCCAGAAGCTGTTGTCACACTGAGCCCAAAAGCAGGGAATTGAGTGCATGTTGTGGCAAATTGTGTTTCACGCTGTCTCTTTTGGGGCTTAAGTGATGCCCCCCATCCCCCTTCCCCTGTTGTCTGACAGGAATGTTTATCTCATGAAAGACCACAAAGGATGTACAAATAACCACCATCTATTGTGTGTTTTTTTTGAATGTCTATAATGTTTACATCTTCCATTGTAAAATGTTATATAAAATATCCACATAACAACTTATTGTCTTGTAGCTGTTATACATTAGTCCAATAATTTGCTTTGCTAATTTAGTGTTGTCAGATTATCTGTGCATAAAACAGTGGAGCTAAAATTAAAAAAAAAAAGTCTCAACAACCTTCAATAAGTCAATAATTCTTGAAATAGTTGGACAATCTCTATTTTAGCAAAAGTCTGACATATAAAAATAGATTCAAAACAAGTTTCAAAATGTGAATCCATCATCTGACAGGCCTAAAAATATCAGCATCTAAAATGGTAGTGACTACGCAGGATGAAGGTCTATAAAATGTGGCTCAGGTCGATCTGGTAGATGATACACTTCACATAAAAAGCAATATTCCTTATAAACTACCAAACAAAGGGTCAGCAATCACTAAATTAGATAGACAAAATATATGTCACAACCTATAGATTTAGAGAAAAAAATAAAATGTGTGTTTTTATTACCTTTTATGTTTGTCATTGGTTTATGGTAAATGGTCTGTACGTGTACAGTGCCGTTTCAAATCCAGAGGACCCCAGAGCGCTCAGTTACAATCAGTCATCCACGCATGCATTTAATTCACATTTTTTTAATACCAAAAGTGCCTTAATCAATAGTTGATATTATTATCAATAATTATTTATATAAAATGTAAATTGAGTGAATGGTAAAAACAAATTGTCAAAGTCTACAAGCACACGAGTGCATTAGATGTTGTCATGACTGATGATATAGAAGACAGAGATGGTCAAGGTGCAGCATTGGTGAATGCTTTTCATTTACTGGATATTAGTAGGTATTAGTTAGTCATTAGTTTTCTTTGAGGGACCAGTATAATTTTAAAAAAAAAAAAAAAAAAAAAAAAAAAAAAAAAAAAACGTATCCACTCCAAAATAGTACATTTAAATCTCAACTAAAATGTGCTTGGGCAAGCCAAATGTCTGGGTTTACAATCACTAAAGATAATAATTAGACTTTTCATGAACAGTGACATGGATATTTTTTGACGACCTAGTATGAGGCTTTTATATTTAAGAATATTTTACCAAGTGTCAAAAATGGAGGCAGAAACATAATGCTGAGGGTCTGTTTCACTGACAAATGTATTGGCACATTCCAGAAGGTGAATGGAAATATGAAATTGGACTGGCAATGAAGTAATTAACTTCAGTTCAAATAAACAACTAGATAGTTGAATTTGACACAATTGGGTCTGCCAGCAGGACAATAATTTCAAAGCCACCTCAAAGCCATCACTGGAAAACACAGCACTTCCAAACAATAAAGCTCATCGAATGGTCTCTACAATTTTCATACTAAAAGTGGATCAAGTGTGGAGAAAAGACAGATCAACCAGAAAACTAACCAGTTTAAATAAGCTCTTCTTTTTCTCATAAGGTGTGTTAAAATATTCAGGAAAATTGTGCCGTGAACTTTGTTGGTGGCTTATAAATGTATTTGATTTCTGTGCAACTTCCTAATGCCTGCATAACAGTGAAATACACAAACTCTTAAAATGGGTGGTACATTCACTCAACCACAAAATTAGTCCTCAGGAAGATAATTACCATAATAATTGTGCATGAGTGTACAAGAAAAAAGTGTGTTATCTAGGAGATGTACAAACTTGACATAATGAGAAGGAAGTGATAGTTTGTTATAGTCAAAATAAACATAAAAACAGACACCAAGACCATAGTATGATAATGATGCATTTGCAGTAACCCAAATAAACTGATCATTTGTATGAGTTTCAAAGAAGATCAGTTATTAATTTAGATTGGCTGTGATGATGGTCTTGATGCAGAGATTACTGCTGGGATTGTGTTTCAGATTGATCTTTACAGTGGTAAAGACCATTTGAGACAGAATGCACACATACATGATAATAATAACAAAAAGTAATAACAAAATAACAATGAACCAACAAAGTTTTCACAATAAAGTCTAACAAATTAAGTCTACCAATTTACCTTGTCAGTATAACATAGGTTAGAACAAAGTACATTTTGTATTTGTATAGATCCAGTATGGCAAGTTTCACTTCCAGATGGAATTGCCTTTGATAAAAAATATATAAATATATATATATATATATATATATATATATATATATATATATATATATATATATATATATATATATATAAAATAAAAAAAATAAAAAAACATTATGTGGAGGATGATAAGTGTGTCCCAAATTTAGATGATGATTTAATATTTCCCTTGGAAACTCACTGGAGAACAGCCAGCTTTGATTTAGCCAAAAACAGCAACCACAGTATTTGTATAAGATATTAAATCTGAGGCTGCATCTGTTCCTAAGTCATTTCCATTCGCCGTTCTCTTTCTTTTGACTCATTACATTTCTCTCGGTTTAAAACACTCTATACAGTCAATCAGAAAAATGCACCATGCTTGTGAATATTCAATTGTTAAAATGTGGGAGATAAACATTTCCTTTTTTTTTTTTTTTTTTGCGTGAAACAGCACAGAATAAGACAAAGCTTCTGATTCTAGGACAGACAAATTCACTATATCTAATTAAAATTCCTTCCTGTAATCATACTCCTGTAACACTGAGTTCCTCACCGACATTTACTCCACCAAAGCCGAGCAGGTCTGTGAATTATTGAGCTCAATTTTTTTAGGAATATTGGAAATCCTTAAGCAGGCTAAAAACTGCCAAATCTAAAGCCTCTGAGGTAACTCGAGGATTTAAAGGCCCAAATGTATTATTTCATCTGATGTATCTGAGTACAGACAGTAACTCAGTTCACAATTGATCTAACTTATATCCAAAGCAATCACTTGAGGTTAAGTAGCAGACAAATAGCAAAGTGACTGATCTTTCAAGTGCCCAATAACATACGCATAGTAACATCTAGTACGACCACATCAATTAAGCATTATAGCAGCCCCTTCACTACAACGTGTACTACTTCTTACCTTGGCAATCTGGACGCACCAGTTGAGCAGTAGCTGTGATCCGATGTTGTCCTTGTGCTCGTGGACGTAGTCAAGCAGGCAGCCATGAGGCATCAGTTGTGTCACCAGCTGGATAGTTGGACTCAGGCAGACACCCAACAGCCGAACGAGGTGAGGGTGCTCCATGCTGGCCATTATTAAAGCCTCCTGAAAAAAAAAGATACATTTACACTAAGCAATAAGGGGTATTATGGGCATGGCTAGTTAAAGCTTGCTTTAAAACACATGCAAATTAAATTACCTAGGTATATGCAATAAGGGGTATTATGGGCATGGCTAGTTAAAGCTTGCTTTAAAACACACGCAAATTAAATTACCTAGGTATATTTGTCCTGTGGAAGAGAATGTCTAGATTTATAAACTTAAAACAAAAAAATGGTTGGTTTTAATTCAGTTGGATAATGTGTAAGTAATGTGTTGTTTTCATGAGTCAGATAGTTTGACTGACCTTCATGTAGTTCTATTTTAAATCTGTGTAAACATCAAAAATTTGGAATTGGCTTGATGTGCTTAATCAATAAATTCCTAACCACAGAAGAAAAGCACATCAGTTTGTACATCTGCACAAAACGATGTACAAAAGGATCCCTTTGTTTTTATGCTGTATATGTTTTCAAATGAATTTTAATCAGGAATGAGTGGTTTGCTACTTTAGAAAAACAGTGTAATGAAAGGCTTCAGGTAAATGCAAATAACCACCAACATTTAGTAGTTTTTGAAAAGTGTTCAGCTTCTGGTTATATGACACTTGTAACACATTTTGTTTAAAAATGCAAAAGCACCAATGTTGTTTTTGCATTGCCTCAGAACTACTTCTTCGATAAATTTAGTAATCTAAACGAATCAAAAACATAAAATGAGAGGTTACATGTTTCATTAATATTTGACAACACAGATGACTTTAAGGGAAGTGTGTATTTGCAAACCTTTTGGAATATTATAATGACCTAGATTTAAAAAAAAAAAAGAAGAATTTCCATAAACAGTTTTATTTCCATATCTCAAGTCTAACAAAACTGATAACATTTAACCCCTTAGAATCATCACCTTGATCAAAGTTCCTTTAATAGAGCAAAACATTTTGATAGCAAATAAGAGAAAATGAAGTCAGTCAGTTAAGTTAGCTAAAATGTTTTCAGATAAATCCTTATCATAAAACGGTATAAACCTTACTCTTGAAATGTCATATTGTGCAAAGACAGTTTTCCTGTTAATGTCAAAGGACAAATGCTCAAACACTCTCACACTCCTGGAGCGTTCATCAATTCTACTATTGTAGACTGTACTGTTGGAGATCACAGGGCCCCTTATTCTCTTTAAGGCTGAAGTTCCTCTTGAAGTGAGCAGCAACGATGCGCTCAGTCAAAAACAGTTGAATTCTATTCAGTGCAAAGATCAAAGTGACTTGCTACTTCAAGACATTTTGTGGTCTTCATAGTAAAGTAAAGATGTAGTAAATACAGCAAAGAGGGGGGGTTGCTGTAAATCATTAATACCTGCCTGGAAAATTTAGCAAAAATGGTTTCTTTCTAGTTGTTTACTTCACACTGTGGATGTCTTGTATAAATGTAAGAAATGCAAATCTCTGGCCTGCAGCATTACATATGATCAAGGTAGCACATCTTTCAACATTTCTTTTTAAATAAAATAATGCTAAAGGCAAGAATATAATTAAAATGGATTGAAAACTGTTCATACACAACCTGATAGGTGTAAATGTTTTGAGTCAATGTGACAACTGTTGAACAAATAGCTGTGCAGCAAAGTACACAAGTCATGAGGATTACACAGTCAAGAGAATGTAAACTCACCATGCTTCAATATTTCTCCTTTTTCCTTTTTTTTAATTAAAGCTGCAGTAAACATATTTTCTTTTTTAAATAATTGTACATATTTTATTAAAATTTTTCATATTTGTTAAAACAGTCACTATATCCTGACAAAATGAGATAGATAATCTGTGAAAAAAATGAAGCCGTGGTGACCTCCCTGAGGTTCCAATGCCATTGCTTAGTTAGAAACAACCAATCAGAGCCAGGAGGAGGGCATTAGCACTGTCAATCATCCTTGTGTATGTATACTTCACACCCTTCCCCCTTGCTCTATGCTTCACTACAGCAACTTCCTTACAGTGGAGCCTACTGATAAGGATTGCTTGACCACCAATGAGTTTTCCTGTAATAGCAAGTTATTTCACTGCCAGCTGGAGACTCAAATTACAAGCACCACTTCATCCGAAGTTTTGAAATCAAGGAACATTTTTCTGATTGAAGTGATCAAAAGACGGGAAGACTTTCTGAACGAAGGGTTTCCTGATCCTGCAAGCCCTTGCTTCCGCAGGAAAAAAAATCCCACAGCATGTGCTCCTTCTGCACCAGTGGTACAGCTGTCCGATGCGTTCCAAAGCTTTCTGTCCATAACTCCTCAACGTGCTCTCAGTTCCCACATAGAGGGATGCATTGAATTCAATGTCTAGTTCAGACAAGATACTCAGATAGAATGTTTTTTATTTTATTAATTTTTTTTGGATCGATTTAGTTACCTTCGCGTGTACTCTGTGTAAAATTGAAAATGTCTGCGCGTCTGCTCCAACTGGTCAGGTGTGTGAATTGTAATCTATCAAAATGACAGATAGTCTTCAGATTTTTCCATTACTGTTTAAAAAAATGATCAAAGGAGTAAAACATTCTGTTAACACCACGTCTGGGTGAAATGTAGTGGTGGTAAAGTGATCAGGAAGAACTTAATCCAAGGTTCACAGTATAGTTATTTAGTTACTGTGGATAAGATCTTAAATTAATCTACAAAACTTTATAAATGATTCTAGCTGGATGTAGTAAAACTCACAATTTCATTTATTTTGCTTAACTATTATCTGACCAGAAACACTAGACATCTGAGAAAATGGCCTGTATCAGTGATCCACAAGGACGTACAGCTGAAACCAAATATTTGCATACACTGTTTATGTAGATCAGCAATTTTTGTTCTAATTCTGACTTCACAGACATGGATCAACTAATTTAAAAAAAAGTAATAAAAAAAAAAATATCAAAATGTTAAATTATTACTTAACATAATAAAGAGAAAGAGAAATAAAGAGAAAAGTATATGATCCACTAAATATCTTTTATTTCCACATTCATGTTAACTGTTTTTTTTTTAATTATTTTTATTTATTTTTTTTGTGCAAGGCTGTGTTTTTCTAATAATAGACATCTGAAAAGAACTAAAGACCTTAGTCATTTTACAAGGAAAATGAACAGAACATTTTTTGAAGGACAGACCACGGGTTATCATGCAGATTCATCCTGACAAGCCCTCAAGCAGAAATTTGGCTTCAAAAGTAAATATACTGCTCAAAAAAATAAAGGGAACATTTCACTTTAATTTTGTGTGTGGCTCCAAATCCAGGCCTCCATTGGTTAATAAATTTGATTTCCATTGATGATTTTTGTGTGATTTTGTTGTCAGCACATTCAACTTTGTACAGAACAAAGTATTCAATGAGAATATTTCATTCATTCAGATCTAGGATGTGTTATTTGAGTGTTCCCTATATTTTTTTGAGCAGTGTATATTTTATAGTGACTCTTCTCTCTCTATAGGAACATTCTCTATTGCAAAACATACTATGGACATTATTAATGCACACATTTGAAAATGTGCATAGAAAATGCTACTGGTCCTAATAAATTGCTTTCTTGCCATCTAAACATGACAGTTTGGCAGCCCAACAATGATTTAAGGCCTGCAAAAACCCATTAATTTTCTTTACACTGGTAACATAGCAAACTCTAACCCAGACCCAGTCTACAAATCCAGTCTACAAATCAATAAATCCTTGTGATATTTTACAAATTTAGTGAAAATGGGTTTAAATCCGCAACAAAGAGAATCCAATCTACAATTCACTTTCTTTAGTTCTCCATTATGACTCAGTTGGAGACCACAAAGCCTCCAAATGGCTGGATTGAAATCCCACAGATGCTTTCTTAGATCAAGACATATGAATGTGAAGACAACAGCTCAAATTCACCAATGTGTTTCTCAAAGGATTCCTAACCACTTTGCATTGTGGCAAGGACCATTATCCTACTGAAAGAGGTCACAGTTACCATGAAAGTTTTGGAAATTCTTTGTTTCATGGAAACAATAATTATAATTTAAAGTACTAAAAAATCATTCAAAATTAGCCATTCAAAACAGTAAAAATGAACATCAACCAACATTGAGTTCAATGTTTTTGAACTACAGACTTAGCATATTTGGACATGGACGTGATTACTGAACATTATTTTGACTTCTCTGCTATGCCTTGGGCTGTCACTTGTTGCAAAATAAAGTTTTCTTGTTGAATGTGATTTTGCTCAACCATTTGATTGTTTCACTATCCTTTACATTTTGAGCTTTAATCAGTTTTTATTTTCTTTTTTTTTCTTTTAATTTGCTTTAATTTTCAAATTATGGAGTTCTGGAATTCTTTGAAAACATTCGTCAGCTAAAGATAAAGAGCTGAAGTCGGGACATCAAATGTTTGAAAGAGCATTGTCCAAAGCATTGCACTGCCTTTGCCAATTTGTGTTTAGGTAAGTAATGCACAAGACATCAAAGCCAAGTTGAAGAATTCATCAAAAAGGGCCATCAAAAAAAGTTCCTCCAAGCTGACTAATATATACCTTTCAGTAGCAAAGATAGTCAAATTACTTACTTTGACTGTCGCATTTTGATATGCCATTTTCTTACTCCAGTAAGAGAACTTTATATTTCCATCATAACACCAGTTCACACAGTAAATGACACAATTTTCCTTATTCAATCACCTACTAGTTGAATCTATATGTAACCTTCAGCTGTGACAGGTACGTCACTCTGATTTTCTGGTTATTCGACAAGCCCCCAAAGAACGCAGGGCATAAAATTAACCACACATGGGAAATTCATCAAAGCCATCATGACAAAAATAGTAATTCTAACACTCAAACACTCTTCCTTTCTGACTGTCAAACTAAGTGCAAAACATGAGTGCAAGTGGGTCGCGTTCAGTGTGTGTGTGTTGATGAGAGTTATTTCATCTGCATTGCATCATGATAGTGTAATAATTTAGATTTTTTTCCTTTTCCCTTTTCAGATGAGCCAAGTTGTGAATGTTTTATAAATGGGGCCGTGTGCTCTGTGCTGTGAGTCTCTTGCGTGAAATGTGTGTATGTCTGCATAGGTAAGACTCTTAGGGACCCCTGACTGTGACTTATGGGGCTCCAGCTTTTTGTTCTCAGTAGCTTCAGAGCTTTCTTTGACTTGTTTTTTGTATCATAAAACCATTTTGTGGTGTTTGCTTTTAGGATGGCAATTTTCTGACAGTAAAAAGTTTATTGAGATTGTGTACTAGATCAACTAGGACCCTTCCTAGAATGTCTTAGACCAATTTGTATACTGATTAAATAGATTTTAATATGTATAGGAGCTACCTTTAAAGCACGTGCTCCTATAGTTCAGGCTACAAAAGACTTGAAACTGGTGCACTGGTTCACCTTCCAGGCAGACAAATACACAGTGTGGTTAATATCTCAAATCTATTCAGTCCAGATCTAAGCCAAACTGAACATCTGTGACAAAACTTGAACACTACTATTCAAACACCCTCTTCATAAAATCTGACTGAGCTTGAGTAGTTTTGCAAAGAAATCGTACAAAAACGTAAGTCTCTAGATGTGCAGTGGTTTTGCAGATGGAGAGAAAAGATTGGAATCTGCAAAATATTATGTGATTTTAGGAGTTTATAAGTTCTCACTTCTTCCTACCCCATTTTGAGCATGATATGTTAACTGAAACAAAAAATCTGTATTTTCTCTTCTTTTTTATGCACTTCTTGTTACTCTTCACTATTTTATTTTTATATTTGTATCATGTTCGAATAAAATTTCATTTCATTTCATTTCATTTCATTTTCATCTCTGCACACGTTGTCCAAGCATGACTTGAAATACAGAACACTAGACCTGAGAAATGGTTATGTAAGACTTGAGTTTGAAATGAAAAATAAATGTTTTTATTCCACAGGAAACCAGAAATAGATCATTTTCAAGATACTCACGTCCATGAACTCCACATTTGCCTTGGGTCCAGTGGCCTCATTAAGGATTTTGATGGCCACAGGAATTTTTACAGTTTCACCCTCTGGGACCCAAATACCCTAAAGAGGAAAGAGAAGTACAAGCAGGTTTGACTCATTACACTGATTACAAACTCACATTACTGAGTGAAGCTGTGTTAAAGAAACATGCTATAGATCTTGGAAGAACAAGAGGAATCTCTATTAAAAATGTAGAGTTTCTCAGCCTTCCAACTGTTTCATATTCTCACCTGCAGAGTATGAAAATGTTCGGCCTGCTGTATTAATAAGGGAATGTTGCCCTTGGAGAAGGCTGAGGTAAAATGACTGAATCTTGTTGAACAATCTAATTTCAGGTTGGATTAATGTGATTTAGCAACCAAACCACCTAAAGATTGTGTGAAAACATTACCCTCTTTACTCCTGGTATTATTAATAATTTTTCACCTTTATTCTACAGAAACGTGACTGTACTTCAAAAACACCTGGTATCATGTAGCAGAAACAAGATTTAAGTTTATCACTAGCTTTGTTTTATGTATTTTACCCTATTTTTAACAATGTGCTATTCGAAACACTGTCAACGTGCTCTTATTGAACAAGTAAACATGAAATACTAAAGTTTTAATTGCAATCTCAATTGTTTTCATAATTTTTAAAACTAAATGAATTGCTTTTTGTAGTTAAAACATCTCACATCATACAATTTTAGAAAAAAAAATAACTGCATGAATTCAGTAATAAGAAGCTATATGGGTAAACATAATTGTTCTTTTTCAAAATCTCTGGTTCTACAATTAGCACTGACCCTCACATATTTCATATTTATCTTTTTAAAGTTTTTTTTTTTTTAGCTTTTTAAAGCTGACTGTGTATAGATTATTTATTGCTTTTCGGTTTTCCTGTGGTATAAATACAACAAGACATTGAAGCAAATTCTGTTCACGTAAGAAATTACAGATGAATGTTGATCTTTCTGTATAAGAAACTGACAATGATATAATAGCAACTCATCAAAAGCATTTAGAACAATGATAAAGGATGGCAGAACAAATATATAGAGAAGGGTCTTATATAGAGAAGGGTGGTGTTTTGATTCATTAGACGTTTATTTTCTGCAACCAAATTTATTTATGGATTTTTACACATCTTTCCAATGAGTTCCTATATTTATAGATGTAACGTTTGTATAGTCAAACAAATACATACACATTTTGTTTTTATGCTTGTAGTTTAATTCCATTTCAAACTCTGATTGTGCTTTAGAAAATTTGTGCATGTGGATGAAAATACTATGAAAATTTAAATATTAGTACCTAGAGCAGCAGAAAGAGACACTTTCCAGTTTTATTCTAGTATTAATTGTGCAACTTAAAGTCACAGTAACAAAAAATATAAAAATAACATCTTCTGTCAACTTCAGAGACACTATCAAATTTACAGGTCTTTGGCGAGTTTCAAATGTATTTATTTATGTAATTGTAACCTTAGTGTTCTCACACCAAAAACTTTGTTGTCAGCATTCAAAGAACTACACGTTAGTTGACTTACCATTACAACCTCCATTGTGCAAAATAGCATGATGCGACAATCACTGTAGTGAACAGCATTGATCCCAGATTTTTTTCATACTAAAGTATAATATATTTCCGCCAGAATATAATGTAGACTTTCTAATTTTAGCTGCGTTTTTGGCTTGAATCTCTCATCCAGCATTGCACTGGCAATGACCTCCGCTCCCTCTTATTTCATTGTCACCCCAGGGCTCCCAGTGTCACCTATTACTTATTCTTTTTATTTTACACCCCCAAGCTTTTCACCAAATGTGCTGTCACTAATGATTCTGATATCCATCTCTTCCACCGATCATAATGTGTGACTGTCTGGCATCACATGAGTTACATGTCCTATATGACCTCTCACTTACATATGAGCCAGTTTGTAGACTGAAATCCTCAGGCAAAGTGCTACTTATCTGTTTCCAATGGTTTGGTGGAGCAATTGAGGGGACAAATTATTTGTAGTCTAAATCCAAAAATATATATATATATTTTTATCAAGATCTTTGCAACATATGTTTTGTAGAAAATGATTTTCAAATCCAAAATTGTAATAGCATATTTTAAAAGTCCCCAAAGCTCACATTTTACCTTGTATACAGTTCCAAAGGCTCCAGAACCAAGGATCTTGACTCTTTTAAGTTCCGTTTCTTTAAGGATGCGAAGTTGGGCTTGATTAGGAGCTGTTCCACTGGGAGTCAGCGGTTCCACCAACTGAAAGCACATATCCCAAAAACACAAAATATTCAATTCATTGTTGTAATTTAAACTCATGGAGTTAAATCCACACACAAAACTTACTATTTTGAAATTAAATATTTGTCAAATATGCTGTTGATAACTAAAAAAATCAAATTGATGTGAAAGAAAAGCTTCATCCCCACAATGTTAGAATTATTCTGAGCTTACTAAAATTATGCTAAAAACTTTATTTACCCAAAATTATGTTTGAGGTTGAGTGCACTGCAGTGTGTTTGACTTAGAAGCCTTTCCTCCAACTGCCTGATTGTCACAAAAGGTTTGCAACGGGTCCAATGCATTTCATAAATTAAAATTACAATATGCATCAGAAAGTTCTAGATGCAGCTCTCCAGCTCTACACTGATGACACAGTTGTTTTTATCATGCAAAGACAGCTACCCTGCTGTTTGATCATCTGCAAAAGCATATGACACAACCAAATTCCATTTTTTCACTTAAACTTGACACTAGATGTTGAAAAGAAGTTGTAATTTCACTGGTGTTTTTTCAGCACACATCTTACCACTATTGATTTGTGTGTTCTTATATATATGTTAGTATTTTAATTTTGGTTATATTACACTTTTTTTTTTTTTAAATCTGAAATTAAGTTAAAATGTCATATTATAGATATAAATATTATACTGGAAGACAAGAGTGGAACAATTATGCTGCAGATGATCAATAAAGTCTTATATGGTGGTAGGTAGATAATTGTTCCAACAACAAAACTGGAGGAATGAATAAATGAAGCGATGCAAAAAAGTAGAAAGGTAACATCTGGGAAAGGCTGGACTAAAAACAATGGCGTAAACAACAAGACATTGAAATGAGAAGCAAAGAGCTAAATTAGTCAGGGGGAGCTAAAGCATGTGAGGGAGCAATATGAAGAGAATTGCAGAACATGTAAGATTAGAGAGGGAGGGCAAGCACGCACAAGAAAACAGAGGAAGCATCTATCAGCCTAGCTGAGGTCTACAGCTACTGTCCCTCTGGCTCATGGGTTACCATTTGATTAAAAACAATAGCCATTTTTCATTTAAATGGAATAACAAATCAGCTTAAGCTGTGTGAAACAAGAGGGATGGGTGCACCACAAATACAGAGAACGTAACCTAGATGTTTTTATAGCGGTTGGGTCCAGACAACAAAGACAGAATTCTATTTCACAGTGCTGAGAGCTGTTCAGCAGTAGAGGTGCTGAATATGCTGCGCCTCTGCAGTTTTGCAACCCAAAACTGAAAATACAGCAAAACTGCACTGTAAAACAGTATAACATTTGAGTGTCTAGTCATTGCAGGAGACATCTCAAAGTAATATTTCATCTAACTCATCTAAGGATCTAAATGTTACCGGTCTTTTATTTTGCTGTATTATTGCATATAAATAAAATATTTCTATAACACAAATACACCAGGGTATATTTGTACCACGGTGACATAGAAAGTGTTTTATGTCCCAAGGGTCCCAGGTTTGGGCATTTCTAAGAAAACAAAAACAAACAAACAAACAAAAGAAAAAAAAAACTGGGATTCAAGGGGGAGAACTTGCTTGTTCGCTTTACAGCAAATAGAACAACTGTAAATTTAGATAAAAAGGGGATGAAAAGTTGAAGAAAAAGTCAACCAATTGCAACTCCCTGTCTTTAAAATGGTTATGTTGGTAAACATTAACAGATAATACGAAACAACATGATCAATAGGTTGATACCTACAGAATGCTCCTCTCACTGATGAATGTTTATTAGAATTATTTAGTTTTTTAAACCAAACTTAGTTTCCTATGTTCCCTCTCATCTTAATTTGTATTTTATATTGTGTTTAAAAACAATGTCAAAATCCACAGTACCTCAAAATATTTTGTCAAAACATATCTGGAATTATAGCACCTTAGAAGGGCCATTGGACTGCCAACTTTACAATCTAATAAGGGCAATGCAATTTTTTTCTGGTTGTTGAATTCATTAAAAAATAATGTCAGTGTCAGATGCCCTGTTGTTGTGCGTCCAACGCATCGTGTTTGTTTGTCAAATTTGTGTCGGTCAGAAACTGACAGGTGCATGGTGCCACGTCGCTGTTTCTTTGTGTCATGTGCATCGCATGCATGTGGCCTGTTATGTGTGGGTCAGGCGCACTGTGCTGGTTTTGTGCGTCACGCGCATGATGCATATTGGGGATGTGGTTGTCTTCATGTGGCTCAGTCACCTAGACGGTTTTTCTGCAAGTCTTCCGACAATATGCAATGCCTCACACACACTTACACAGTCTCTCTACGAAAAAGTAGAGACTTATGGAAATTAAAGTATCATTTAAAAGCAAAATTTGATTTCATGCTGCCAGAAAAGAAAATACTTACTTGCAATTAATTTGGATTGATTGAAAGTGATTATTAAGACTAATTTGCATTACTACTTCAACAAGTCTTTTAGTCAAGTGACTTTAATAACCTGTTTTGATCTGACAGTTTAATAACGATACATCATCTCGTAAGTATTTTAAATTTCCAGTTGTTATATATGTACATATAAATCTAAAAAAGAAACCTATTTAAGTTAATGCTGCACTTATGGCAGTGCAGCATTATAACAGTGGTACAATAAAATCTTGCCAAAGCTTTTTCGAGACACTTCAGTGATACTTGTCGATTCAGAGGAGATAAAAAGCTGTGAAATAAGACCTCATTTTCAATGTGGACACATAAGTGACTTTTATGATGGTGCATTCTTCTGGTTCTAACAAAGAGCAAGAGTGTGTTCTCTTATTTTAATGGTATAGTATGCTATCTCCTCCTAAAAGAAGTGTCCTCTTCAACATACTGTGACAAAGTCAAGAGCTGAACAGAGTTTCTGAAACTTTCTTAACTTCTGAAATCTCCATTAGAAAACATAGTGTCTCCCTTTTCCCTGTCTTTTCTCAAGCCTGTTCTTATTTTCTACATCAGTGGATGTTGCGTGTTCATTCAGCTTTCCCTCACCAAACAAGCAAATAAACTTGTTTGACGGTGCAAAAACACAACAAAAAATGAGATAAAAGTATTTTTTCCCTGTATTGATCTAGTTCTTAAAGAGGAATGAAAAATTTGAGCAAACCATAGCAGTCAAATAGAAGTCTGCCTAATTCTGAATTATTTTGAAATTGGGTTGCCGGGGCTTGCAGAGTAACTGTGCAGACTTACTTTAGAGATGCTTAATCCAATTACATATTGGACAACGGTTAATTTTTCCCTCTTTTAACTTCGACTACTTTCTTTTTTTACCTCAGTCTCCAGAAATCGCCGAAGGGCCCTCTTCTTCTTAATGTTCTTCCGACGCACTGACACTGCTACACTCAATACCATGATCACCACCATGAAGAGGCCGCCAATCACTCCAGCAGCAATCAGAGGGGTTCTGAAGACAAGAAGGTAGGGTGGGAAAAGGGGGAAATGAGTGGATTAAGAGCAGGAAGCAACCAATCTTACGGAGCGCAAGTCTTGCTGAGCAGTAGCATGGAGGATGGAGGCAAAAAATGTTTACCACAAAGAAAAGCAGTCACTTTTCCCTCCTAATGTTAAAGACTCATGTTAAGCTCAAACTATCATAATGAAGACATATAATTCAATTGTTCTTCCATTAGTCGACTTTAATTTTAGGACGATGTCTAAAATTTGGACTTTAGTTTAGACATTCCCAATCTCGTAATTAAATTCCCACTTAAACTTTGCAATTTATAGCACATCGAAAAACTTGTCTACAGCTTAGACATGAAAGCAGGTACCAAGTAAAGTACCCACTTGACCTTTTTCACATATTCCTATGTTATAACCAAAAAAATCTGTGTTTTTGGTATGAGATTTTATGTGCTGCACCAACATAACATTGTGCATAATAGTAGAATAGATTTATGTTTTTTGATTATACTACTATCTAAACCATTTTAATGAAGTTCATGCTGTTTTTAGGGTTGTTGTCCTGCTAGATGGTGAGCCTTCATCCACATCAAGTCTTTTACTACTCACAGGTTGCATATAAGTAAATGCACAAAGTGTACTGCAACTTATCTCTTCCCATAAACAGAAATTCCTTTGAGCATAAGTCGTTTTTTGTATTATGACTTCTTGTTTTTTGTGAGTAGATAAATAAATAAGCACAACAAACAAATTGGGGAATTTTGACTTGCCAAGTGGGGGACATGCCATATGAGTCATTACTAATAGAGTTTAAAGTAAATCAAAAAGAGATTAATCCATCCAAAGCAGACGGGCACAAAATCCCCAGACAAGATGTGAGTTAATACTAGGATGAACAATGGCTGCAGAAATGCTTTGTGCAATCACATTTTTCTGATAAGACACAGCAACAGGTAGCAGATTTGTGTAACAGCTCACTCTAACAGCAACGGTAAAGATACAACTGCATGTTAACAGGAGCTCTCGGTGATCTGATAAGAGCTGATCACTTCTCTAGGTTAGCAGATAGCCATGTTCCCATAGCAGCTACAAAGCTCTTTCATCCTATTGGCAGTGTCTCCAATGCCAAAACATAGTGCCTTGGAATTGAACACTGATGTTCAAAAACACTGATGTTTTTGAACATCAGTGTTCAAAAACACTGATGTTTTTGTTTTTAGTATTTTGTAGTATTACTTCAAAACAGCTGTTCTGTGAAGGCTTCTGAGATTTGTTTGAGAACATGGATGAACAAATGAACAAACCAAATCATAAAAGATAAGAACAACAGAATAAAGGCCAGTGTTAAAGCTGTGGGGAAGTTGAAAGCAGGGTTAAGTTATTAATTAATACCCAAAGCTTTGGAAAAGCTCGCTATCAAGACAAACAGTTTCAAGCCATCATGGAAAACTAAGAGATCATAGCAACTGTGAATCTATTGAGAAGACTAGTATTCATTATGTACTCCACACATCCAACCTATATGGAAGAGAAATAAGAAGTCACAAACTATGTCGTCTGTGTAGACTTTGATAAAAAACATTAAAATATATTTTGTATAACTATATAAATTGTTGTGGAAGTGATCTTTGGATCCATCTTGATCCAAAGATTATTGTGTGTGTGTGTTTTTTTTTTACCTATCCCCTTTTCTTTCATATTTCCAAAATGTGATGCCAGCAGTTTTAATTCTAAAGCCTTAAATCTATTTGTAGGAAACTGGGAACAGCTTTTGCTTTCCTTTTCTCCCCCATCGCCTCAAAACAAATGCTAAATTGCGATCAATTCATCAGGAGCTGCATAAAATCACAAGGACACACACATGCACTGCAGCACGCACAGAGAGGCATTAAGGATACTCACAGGGACAGTGTGGCTCAGAGCAATCCATTAATCAGAGACTTTGCTTACTGTTATTCTTTTGTGCATCTGTGTGTGCTACTGTGTGGTAATGTGTTAATATTAGAATGTGAAAACAATCATAATATCATACCTGTCCATCCAGCCGATGCAATCTTGTAGTCTTGGTCCAATGCACCTTTATAGGACACAAAACAAAATGGCATTGATGCTCAGACATAAAATAAACATGCAAATAAATAACTAACAAACATTAGCAATAGTGAGAAGAATTTAATATTTACATTTTCTTTCAGGATTGTTTGCTTTACTGACCGCCAAGTACACGTGGATATAGATATGCTAGGTTCAAATATCCTGTTGGTATCTTTAGGATGAAATAATTTCCAAAAATATTTTTCTCTTGCTTGATTTAATTTCCCCTAATTGTGAAAGGATTTAAGACTAACAATCCAAAGCTTTTCCAAATTTTTTGGGAAATTTCTTCAGCTATAAAACAATCTGAAATGTGGTTGGTGTTCTGGTTGCATAAAACAGCTGTTTCTTTCCCCAAACAGTGAATCTCAGTTCTTTCATTTTCCCACCCATCAGCTTGTTTTTTCTTTTATGAGAAACCTACCTGCATGTGAGGTTGTACCTGTGACAAAGAGTCAGCCCAGTGTTTTCGATTTACGACTAAATTGTTATGCTCAAGCAAGCTGGAGACTGTCACTCAGGAGAAGAAAAATAACACAGAGAGGCTGTGACATAAACCCCCTGTGGAGTTAAATACAAAATGATGTCTTTCCAAACCCGGTTGAATATTACATTGAGCAGTAAGTGGCTTGAGAGCAGCGGAGAGTGGCAGGTTACTACATTCAATCCTCTCACTATGATGTGTTTTTGCTTCCACCTTATTTTCCGCTTCTTGCCTTTATTTTACCTCATTTCTATAAACTGATGTTTAGATTATACATTTACATGTGAACATTTTGGATTGTAGGGCACTTGTGAGTATATGTATCTGTGAACATCTATTCATGTAGAAGTCTAGTTATGTAAAAATGGATGAATGAGAGACAAAAAAAAAATCCTAAAAATCCTTGCCTTGGTGTCTTACAAACCAACTTCAACTGGTGCCGTTTTGTTGACAACCATCATTCCATTAACTTTAAAATATTGGTAATATGTATGTGCAATGCGTAGACAGTTGCTTTCAAAAGTCCATAGCCCATTTAGTGGAGAAAAAAAAATAGACATAGATCATAAGGTGGAGCATATATACACCAAACTAACACAGTGAAGGCAGTCACCAATGATGGGGAAGGAATGGGTAACAGAAACATCACAAAAACTGAAGGTTTGACCAAAAACGGCTCCTCAGATGCAAACACTAATACTGAAGGAGCTCCAGGACCAAGTACTGGCTGTGCTCTACATGTGGCACATTGAATTCTCCATATATTTGAACTATGGAGTAGGGTTGAAAGACAGAATCCTTTCCATTGGTAATATTTCACAAAACCTTACAGGAGAAAGGTGCTCTCGTAAAAACTTGAACTTTGGGCCACAGCTAAATAACCATGGTGCTAGCATCATGACTTGGGGTTACTTTTTTCAGAGGAAAGTGAGGTTTTTGTCAAGGTGGAATGAGTTGTGAATATTTTCAAACACCAATCAACGCTGGTCTAAAACCTCCAACTGAATGCTGAAGATAAAGAGCATTTTTCTTTTTTCCACAATCACCGATTCTACACATACATAAAAATGAAGAAAAGAATGACTCGATGCAAACATTCAAGTTTTCAACAATGAAAACTAGCCAGAACTCTAAGTTTAACAGAAGGTCAACTAAAGAGAGCTGTGGGCAAACATATGCCCTTACAGTTTAAAAGACTTGGAGATTTTTTATAAAGTACAAAGTATACATTTAAAACACTGACCTTAAAATATAACAACAAAATAAAAAGACAAAGTCCTGTTTTGCATGAAGTTTGACAATAATTGCACTACATTCTAACAAAAAAATGGGAAGAAAGCAGCATCCCTGTTTTTTGCTTGTTATTTCTTATTGACAAATTGTAATAAATTGAGGCACATTAGAAAAATCTAGGATGTCTTGTTTATTGCAGGGAAAAGGCCATCTAAACGCAGCACTCTGATGCGTCCTCGGACAAACTGCTCTTACCCTTGGGTGCAGTTGGCATGGCAGGGATGGCATTCGTTGTTTACTTCGGCATATTTGAAGATGAAGCTGTTGGCACCTTGTAAGCCATCAGGACACTTTTCCACACAGTTCGGACCGTCCTTGAAATGAAGGCATTTCACACAGTGTTCCGGGCCCTGTGGGTTATGGCAAAAAGAAAAAAGGAAAAGCATTCATCTTTTAGATGCTTATTTCTGAAAACAATCATCTTTGAAAGAGTTCAAACAATACATTTTCTAGTACAGTCGTAGTAGTAATTTCAGTGTAAAAAACAATTGGTTTTCTATTTGGCTGTTTTGAGGTCTGTAGCCAGAGGCAGCCATTAAAACTACTTCCAATATTATTGAGTTGAATTTCCTGAAAACCGACGGGCGTATATATAGAAAACATATGGAGGTAAACCTAATATAGCAAATTCGAATAGAAAGGAAATGTATTGTCACCGTTGTTGTTATAAATCTTCGTCAAAGTTTGTTTGCCTGAAGGAACCTGTATTACCAATAATGTACACATCTTATAGGATTGAATTGTGAATTGTTAGAGAGGTTTTCCATTACTGGGATGATTTTACATTTGTTTGCTTTATCTAATCAGCTGCTGTGATAGTGCATACAGTATAGTTTTTACCGTATATGGGTTTTATATTTTGTTGCTCATGGTTAAACCATAAATTTTAGAGATGAATCTGTCCACTTTGACAAGTCGCATGCTTCAACTGGCAACAACCCCCTCCCCTTAAACTTTCAATTGTGCAATCATACAACTCACTGTGATGAAACATTACAGCACTTTTTTTCACAAGGAGCACAAAATATTAGAATGTTAAATGTTATGTTAAGATAGTTCTCTCTCTCAATGTCGTTTGTTGAGAGCTCATTTTCTGGCCTGCAAGCTTTTTGTCAAAACTGTTATTTAATTTTTGTTTAAATACAGTAACCCTGCTTTCCCAGCAGCTTCCTGCCCACAGCAGAACTTTCCATGTTCCGTCTTGCACTGTTCTAACCTATATTTTATCCTTTAACTTTGCTTATGGACAATATTTCAGCTTCTTTTGCAGATTTAATGGGTATAGCTTAATCAATAATCCTTGATGGTAATGTTGTTTAAGGTGATCTCAAAATGGATTTACCTAAAAATGCAAGGACTCTTTTTAGCACTGCACTGAGCTCCAAGAACGTTTCAGCTCTACTGTGTGTGGCTTTGTTTAATGAGCACTATCATACAAAAGTTTTCATACTGGGATGGAAGAGGCACCTGTAGCCATTACAGCTAATGAGGAAGCTTCAAGTTTTAAACACGACTTTGAGCATCAGAGTCACTGAAGCAATGATGTGGATGTGAGATAACTAATTTAAGACTGCTATCTTTAACATACGTTTGCTACTGTACAAAATGTGGTGTGCATTTGTATGCAGACCATATATATAGATATATATATATTTTTAAGTAAAATTTAAAGCTCAGTTAGATTGTATGGGAAGTCTCTGAAAAGCACTTTTCAACACTTTTTACAAATTATTCTAACACATGTACATTGGCCTAAATGCTTCTAATGTAGCTCTGAGTTTGTGTTCTGGTTTTATTTCTTCCTACAAGGTGAAGATCAATCCCAATCTTAAAATTTTGGAGCCTGTAATGGTTTTCCTTCCAGTATAGCCCTGTGTCTGCCTGCATCCATCTTCCCATCAACTCCGAGTACAAGTACATAGATGATTTTCAGGTTTCCATTTGTGAAATATAATCTTTCATTTTCATTCAACTTCACATGCACTTCTTTGGTTTGTCTATCAAACCAAATAAAATGTGATACATTTGTGGGTGTTACTTGAAGACATAGAGAAATGACCAAATAGAACATATAATTTTGCAAGCCACTGATGCTTTTTGTTAGACTTAACTCAGACATTCACATTTATAGAAATGCATAGTGAATAAATAAATGCATGCTCACTACATGCATATCAGACTTAGTATATTACTGTTGTGCTCATGTCTGCATGGGGACAGAAAGGCATGAGTGTGGAAGAGATAACTAAGGTGAGACAAATAATGCAAGAGTGGAGTTGTGGGTAAGAGAAATATAAAATAAAAATAGGTAGCACACACTAATAAGTGAAGAGAAGCAAAGAGGGTGGACATGGATGTATTACAACCAAGTAGAGGAGAGAGACAGTCTGAGAAGTCTAATAAGGAAAAAAGAGAGAATAACAGGAGGAAAAAATGGAGAAAACAGGCGAGACCGTAAAGCAGCACGAGCAGAGCAGGCAGATAATAACCATCGCTCACAGCACACACAATGACCATAACAATTCGACTAGAATAGGATTTATGGAGCTAATATAGGTGCGGGAGGGGATAGAAGAGGGAAGGAAGAGCGGTGACGAGGTCTCTCAGACAGGCCTCGTAACATCAGCAGGCCTAAATAATGTCGTCTGACAGACACACACACAAACACAAAGGTATGGTCAGAAAGAAATGTACTTTTCACATACATCAGCAATGTGGAAGTTCATCTTAATGCATACATTATCACCAACGCCATGTGTGAAAAATACTTTAGAGAAATAAACAAGCACTTGTATTACTCTCTCAAAGCTTTCATAGATGATGCATGTTACTAGGAAGATAAATTAGTGTAAATAAATTAGTGCTCGTAAACAGCTCAGGCAGCATTTTGTAAGGGTCTGTTGAATGTGTGAATGAGTTTCTCAGAAATATGTGCTCTTACACCTTGTGTGTCAAAGAAGATGTACTCAATCTGGTATAATTATGTAAATTGAAAGTGTTACTGTAAAGGCTTTTAGATTTTGATTTTGCCCAACATTTTGAATACCTGTTATCACCCATGAGAAGGAGATGTATGTATGCGTGCACAACGGCTCTGTCACACAATGCTTGTGTTATTATCAACATGTTTTAATGCATATTTTGAAGTATCAAATTAGAACAGCATGATGGAAACTGTCAAATTAAATTTCCCTCTGTTTTTTCACTGGAGGTGGTGTTTGGTGCTTCAAAAAAAAAAATGGAGTGAATGTTAAAGGAGAGATGAAAAAAACATTTCAAGAGTAAGTTCTGATACAGCGAACACTCACATTCATTGATGGGTCTGTGAACAAACCACCAGTGGATGGGAGCTCCTTATTCAGAAATACTGCTGAACAGAAGCACCAGCTTTGCAATAAAAGTTATGATTACATTCTGGCACTACAAACAGTTGTTAGCTATAATCTGCTCACAAACCTGATAATTCTATTAAAACATTTCAAACTTGGAATGTTTCATCCAGCACTCTGCAAATTTAGGGGAAGTGTCAAGAAGATAATAATTATTTAAAAATAGCCATAAGAAGTTTTTTTATTTTATTTATTTTTTTATGTTTGCAACAAGCCATCTTGGGAACACAATAATGCAAATGAAGGTGCTCAGGTCAGACAAAATGTCAATAATAATAAAAAAAAATAAAACAGATGTTTAAAAATGCTTTTCATCTAACAGACATATTGCCAAAAATATGTGTTTACACGTGCCAATATTTTTGAGATATAACTTAAAATACTCACAGCTGAAATGCACCTATGATGAATACATGCTCTACTTTGTAGTGGTTTATTATTTAAAGTCACAGCAAGGTAAATTGAAGTTAGCAGTTTTAACATGCAAAAAAGTTCAAAGATTATACATTCTTTTGAAAGGTACCGTCTCAAAGTGCTTTATCTACAGTGACTTTTTAAAATGTTTTATTACTATTGTGGGTCAACCCACACATATTGCCCCACTCAATTATGGTACTGGCATTTTGATAAAAATGTAAAAGAGGCTAAGAAAACCAAGAAAAAAACTCAACAGTAAACAGGCTTTCTTGAGATAAAAAGAGTAAATGTCAAGGATGCCTCCATCACAAGCAGCGTATGCTAGAAACCACTTAGCCAAAAAAAGCCAATAAAAGTCACTGTATATAAACTATAAAGCAAATGTAATGGGCTTCATTGTTATACCATGGTTGCTGTGATTGATATGTACATCAGGACTGTGCAAGCCACCTTTACACAAGATAAACATATTGGTTTACATACATTTCTTTATGATTTAATAGAATTGCTATAAAACATTTACAATATGATTTAGTTGTATTGTTTTAGCTATAATCTAAAACAGTGGATTTTAAATTATAACTATAATATAATACGCAATATAATATCTATAATTTACATCTAGCTTTTGTTGGAAGCTCCTTCCCCAAGCTTCCCTCAATTGCTTACTGGAATTTTGGCCAATTCCTCCATAAAGAACTGGCTTTGCATTGTAGACTGCTTTGACAGACTCTATACTTTTTTAAAGTCTTATTAAAAAGCATGAAAATTAGCTCTTGAATGGCTTTGTATTGACAAAATCAAGAACTAAAGATTGATTGTCTGGCTGGCAAACAGCAAGTATTGAAGAACTTTCCATTAGTCTTAAATTGCGGTAACATTTAAGACTAATGAAATTGTCATAAAATGCAATGGGCTAATCATTACTTAATAAGGATTTTACATCCAGCTAGTGCTTTCCGGTTCATTCCAAGGTCTGTCTAGCCTACATCAAGTCCGGAGTGGACAATTCCTCACTGTACACTTTGTACAATTTATGACAAAGTTCAGTGATAACACAATTTTAGTGAAAACACAAAAAGAAAACATTTAAAATGCTTATTGTTTATGGACACATTTAGAACACAGACACAATTAGAATAAATTTTTACGTGAGTGACCGGGTTGTATCATTAGCATAAGCATAATTATAAACACATTTTCACTGGAAACATTACACATAAGCAGGGGATCGAGGATAGTGTTGTGAATGTCCATGCATAATCCTAACATTTTTAAATCTATATTGGTATTTGTAATGCCCTTTTGCTTTTATTTGTTATTTGCAGTCTCATTACACCTGTAGGAAAAACAGAACTATGACAAATATTTTTCTAACTGAGTAATAGCACCGTATAGTATTAGGTTTTAATGATCAGATAACAACCAGTGTATACAAATATCTCTGTTCTCCACTTGTATAAAGCGCAGCCATCTATGAATTGATTGCTTCCGTGTGCTTGTGTATTCTTATCGGTTAGAGCAAACTTACTGGGCCGTGGCAGGTTAAAGAGTCATCGTCTGCTCTTTCACACTGGGCATCACACTCCACACACATTGAACCATTGGCATACTCTCGAATATCCCTGTGAAACAGGAAAGCAAAAAGAAAGATGGGGCAAAGTATTATTAAACAATAAACAGAAGTCATAGTGGCAGTAATGCCAAAAAGCTATGAAGTTATTTTCTTATAAAGAGTAAGGATTTTTCAAACATTCCATGGTTAAAAGGACAAAAATAAACATTAGAACTGTAATATGGTGTTTTTATTACAACAAAACAATACTGTGCAGCAGAATAGTAATTTCAAGAGCCTAATTCACAAGTGAACATAGTTTGTACAAAATCGTTTTCAATCAATTTTGCCCAAATTAATCCAGAGTGAAACTGACAGTGTTTAAGAGAGTAAGGGGGATCGTAACCCAAGAGGTCGTCACAGTTGAGAGGTGCAGGATGTGGGGGGATGGCTGACGTTTTCAAAGTCAATTAAATTATGTTGGTGTTATTCAATTTCTGCCATCTACGTATAGTGGTAGAGTAGCAGAGTGGTTCAAAAAGTCATTCAATTTGACCACACTGCAACTGAGTTGGCACTTTGCCTGTGTTAATACAGAAGAAAGAAAACTAAACCTGTGTTCTTGTCTTTTGCTCAGTGATAGAAAAAAAAAGCACTAGAAGGAAAAAGTTTCTCTTCCATTGGGAATAAAATCAAATTAATATTAATCATGCATCTTCTGACCGTCATAAAACCTTCAAAGAGGCAGGGAAGGTAAAACACATGTTCTGTATGCACGCTGGTTGAACTAGAAAAGGTTGTGGTGGACCTGGAAGATATACAAGACTTTTCAGGCAGTAAGATGTTTTCATGTCTTCTGCTTTAGTTTTGGTTACTCGCACAAATCTACATAAATAACAGGGAACAGTCATAGTTTTCTGTTATGGTTCTGTTATGGTTTTCCAATCTACTCCAAAGTGGGTGGATGATGTGATGGGAATCTTAAGAATCTGAGGCCAAGCAGAGCTTTAGAGAAAAAATTAATAAAACTTTGGCTGATAGAAAAAACAAAACAAACAAACTTAGAATTAATTCGTAAAGTTGAGATTCAATCCCAGGATTGAACTCTGGGGTTCCCCACATGTGACTTTTGTCTGCCACAATGAAAGGTTTTCTATTGATATAAAGAAATCTTGCTCTTTTGGCAAGATTTGAACCAGTCAAGTGCCGGACCTGAGAGTCCGACACAGTCTCCTCAGTAATTATGCCATATTCAACGGTGGCAAATGCTGCACTGATATCCCACAGAACCAATGCTGTGGTTCTTCCACAGTCTGTATTTATGTAAATATAGACACTCAGAGGAGGACTGTCTCAATACACTGGAAAACACAGGAACTGGACTGAAAGACACCAATCCAGCGGATCATTGTTATGAAGATATTTAACTGTTGAACAGCTTTTTCACTAAATCTGCTGATCAATAGAAGGTTGGAGACTGGCCTGTAATCCTGCAGTAGTGATTTGTTCAGATTGTTCTTTTTTATAATCGTTTCTAAAGCCTGGGTGAAAACACCATATATGAGAAACGGGTTTACTATTATAATCAGATCAGATGCAATAACAGTTAGGATTTTCTTAAGGAAGGATGTAGGCAGAATTCCAAAGATTGTATGCTTAGTTTTAGCATCTACAAGATAGATTGTAGACCTTTCCTGAACCCTTGCTAGATTGGCCCTTGATGAACGTTGAAAACTTAGAGCATTCTGTTGTTACAAAATCCTATTCTACAGAAACCATGCTGTCAACACCTCTGAAATACAAGGCAAGGTAAGCACAGCAAATCACAAACTAAAGAAAGACTGAAACACACCATGCATTATAAGATACATGGTAAAGTAAGGGGTTAGGGTTGTATTCATGGCTGCATTGGCTGGATGATGTGTCAATGATAGAGACTGACGTGTAGGCAGGCAGGTAGGCAGGGCGTGGCCCCGTGCGCAAGCAGTGACTGTGACACGCAGTGACACGCCTAGCCCTCCTGCCCTATCAGCATCTCAAGATCCTGACTCTTCTCCAAAGTGGCTTCCCGAACTTTTGTAATCAGGTTGTATTTCTGAACTCAAAAGGAGCTTTCATGTAATTCTCTGTTAACAAAGACAAGTCAGTACAAAAAAAAAAACAAAAAAAAAAAAAAAAACTAAAATGTCATTAAAAAATCTCCCCAGGGTGCATGTTTTCTCACTTTTTAAAGTGGAGGACGATAACATCAAGGGACTCCTAATGTTATGAGTCTCTGCAGGGGTGCACCTTGTTCCCAATGTTTTTTAAATTGTACTCTACTTCCCCCGGTTCCTAAAACAATCTTGTATAAGAAGGAAAATTAAACAAAACTGGAAAACCCTGATAAATGTGTTTTGTTGTAAACGTTTCAGGTAGACAGTGAGTGAAAGTCATACTATTTAAAATTATTACACACATATTAATGTAGTGAAAGTCTCTGTTGTATCTGATTCAGGAGTGGCTTAAGAAAGCAAATCAACAGTTGTAGTCTATCTTCTGGATAAACCTGTGTGTGATGGCTCTTGTAGCTTTACCCAGCCTGCAGTCCACACATTTTGAATGTGCCTAAATCTCCTAAATGGTCTTTAATTCACAATCAAGTAAAAGCTGTAGCTATCAACATTGCATGTTCACCATTTTCTACCACGTAATCTCTATTTTAACAGTTTTTTCCCCCAAGCTAGGTAGATGTGTTCAGGAAGATTCAAGTTAAATATGTACTAAGTTTTAAGATGCTCTAGTAAAGTACAGTCCTCCTCCTATTAAACTGTGTGGGTTTAGACTAGATTTGAGAAGAAAATATCTGTTGCCATGTTACTTAATTAAAGGCATTTCAATGAGATATGTAATATGTCTAAGCTAAAACATGTTTTGAGAGCCCAGGCTCATTACTATGTGAATCTTACATGCATTTTAGACAGACAGATCATGCTATACTTTGATGTTGTGTCAGAATCACCAGTCCAATTTGCTGTTTACTTATCCCTTAACAAAGGAACAAGTTAGCCAACCTTTCTATTCAAGTGTTTATTGTCAAGAAAAGCCTTCTCTTGTATAACAGTGCACTTCAGTATGTGATCTGCATTTAAAATATTAAATTATAAAGTATATTTTTTATGGTTGGGTTAAAATAAGACACCTATACATTTATTTATTTCTAAAAGAATAATTATATTTTATAGCTAAAATATATATATACTTTTTTTTCCCCCTTTCATAGTTGAGGGATCCATCTTTGATAATCTACACACTGCTGAAGTGAATTTGATTTGCTTTTGGCATTTGCAGGACTGTCTTATTTTCCTTTACACTTCCAGTTGCAGAGTTTTCTCTCCCTCTCCTGCCCACCACTTCAAATACTGATATTCAGTTACCATAGTGCCTTGACTGACATATTCTCTTGCTGGAGCTGTAAAATCCTGAGATCTGTCAGTGGCCATGCATGTTGCTGCTGGGAGACTGAGAGGGAGCTTCAATAAGTGCAAGACTGTTATCACAAACAATAGAATAATGAGTCATTGTTTTTGTTTAAAGTAATAAACACAGCATATGGAAATATCCAGCTTACAAATATGGGTGTTTATGTCTCCATTCACACATTTAGGTTATCCCTCTGATCATGTATAGTTTGTGGTTAAAGGCTAAAGGATATAAATAGGTTTAATAACTTTGTATCACTCTGTGCCTCCAGAATAAAACATTAATGACCTTAATTAAGGATTAAAGATCATTATGTAGCTAATCTCAGATGAATTTGTGCAGGAGTATTAACATTTTTATGGGGCCTAGAAATACAAGCCAAAAGAGCCTTTACCAATTACAAACTTACTTTAATGGAAGTTGCTCTTTTTTTTATTTCATTAATAAATATACGCAATTAAAATAGGTAAATCAATAAAATGTAAACATCCGGCAAATCTGTTTCACAATAAATTACTTCTTGTCCATGATTTACAGTAAATGTGAAAAAATATTAACCGATGTTCTGCAACATTTGAAAAAATACACACAAAAAAGAGAAAAGAAGAACACCATGTAGTGCTTAAAATACTATTAAAAATAAATTATAATTTTGCAAATTATAATTTTGCAAAGGTAAAAAATTATTCATAAAAAATCTTTTAAAAAAGATTATACATATTTATGATTTAAATATATAATTGTATTTTGGATTAAGGTTGTACTATATTAAATATTGTATAGGTGTTAAATTTTATGATGGTGACATTAGTTGCAATAAATCCACATAACCATTATTCATTTTTCTCATTTATTACAATGCTTCCAGCTCTCTCTGTGACCTTTACTGTCTTGAGGGCTATTGTAGGTGTGAGTATGTGCTGCAGCACAACTCAAGCAGGCTATATGCCTATATTTCTAGGCATATAGCCATACTATATACTATATAAAATAATCAACAAATACTGCACTCTAAAGAGTCATCTGTCATATTAACAATCAGTGTTTTACTCTGTGCATGGTCCGACGGGTAGAACTGACCGCATGTGCACTTTTATAAGTTTTTTTCTGTGTGTGGTTTCGGAAATTGACCGTTTGATGGGACAGTGCTCTTATGCGCTATCTATGCATGTATAGAAATTCATTACTCACCCTTCGTACAGGTTACAGGTATCTACACAGGTTCGTCCCCGGCTGAAGTACCGGCAGGACAGGCACTGGTCCGGACCAGGACCCCAACATCCAGCATCAGAACACAATGTGTCACACACCATGTGGTCCTTGGCTGCTCAGGACAAACGATCAGAAAGACAGTGAAATGACAAAAATGTTGCTTTCATGCATTTCTGAATGGATAATGAAACAACAATGCATTTGTTAAGTCATCAGTTTGGTGTAAAAAATAGCAAAAATAATAGCATCACTCATGATAAGACATAGGGTTAAATGTCTCAAGGCACAAGACACTCTGAACATTAAATGTTTCTACCTCCTCATGACAACTGCATATTTGTGTTGGCCTATAAAGTCTATTTTTCATAGCAACAGATTTCTTAAGCCAAGACTGGGATAAATAAAGTAAGGCAGATGGGTGAGTGGCTGAGGGACTAAATTATTTCTCTTCCGGAAACAACAAAGTGTCAAACAATAGACACCAAGACGTCTGGATAATTATCCCTTTTGGATCAAATGGTTGGCAACACAAACACTGTTGTGTTCTAAACTGTGTGAATATATAAACAGTGTGTATGATAATTAATCTTTATGCATGAAGTGTGTATTACTATTACATGTTTTTGTGCAGTTAGCACAGTAGGGATCTGTGCTGCTTCATTATCTAAATGCTGAGCAAACAATGGCAAACCACAGATGAGACAGAAAGAACTTGCAGATGCCACACAGATTTGTTGATATAATTTAGGCTAACAGCCAAAAGAGTAAAAAAAAAAATGCTGTTAGGTCTTGTTTTTTAATGCACTACCAATCAACCCTGAACATCTCATCTGCTCTGCTTTATAGAACTATATTTGTTCTTTGTCTCATGTTTCCCCGCAACACACTTCCATAAAAGTTATGACACATGGAAGCACAATGTTAAAATACTGAATCAACACTCTTCACTAAACATGAGGTTAGTTTTGTTTTTGGCCACACCACATAACCTTGATGTCTTACTGCGTTATGCTATTTTAACAGAATGTTGCAGTTGTTCAAAGAAGACTGAGACTCAAAATCAGTTGTATCCTTTTAGGGAAGAATATAAAGGCGTTGGCTTTTACAGCACAAAAACCACCTCTCTGGGTAATCTGGTGTCACGTGTAAACTGACCAGACAGAGGAAATAACAAGAAAAAGAGTGTTTGGGGGCTGGCAAAACACATTAGTTGTGCTGCAAGATCAAAAAGAGCAACTTGAAATGTGCCTAAAATGCTTGAAAAAGCCCTACCATTAGGAAGAAAGAACAGCCTATTGCAATGAGTGTGATAATGTTTTTAAAAGGAAGGACGGATGTGACAAAAATGTAAATAACATAAAAACACATTTACTAAATGGTAAACATGTGAATGTGACTCTGCTGCATTTTCTATTAGGACTGATCAGATGTCAGCAATCACGGTAGCAATCACCCTTGTAGTCCCTTGGACTACAAGGGAATACAATACAGTATTGTATTGTATTCAATACAATACAATTGTGCAAAACTGTAGTGCACAATTATTTTATTGATTTAATCTGAGCATTTTGACCACAATATTACATTCACACTGAGAGGGAGAAGAGGAGTCTATGACATGTGACCTGCTCTTCACCGATTCTTGTTCACCCACATGTCCACACACAGCTCCTTATGTAGGACAAAGAGCTCTGAGGGATGCAGTTAAAATTCTACCTTTTAAGTCCAGTGTATACATGATTGACCTTAACCACACTAAGCTATGTGACCAGCCAGATTTCTGGGTTGTGTCATTCAGAGTAAACCTGTTAAAGCTAATATTCTTTGCTGTTTCTTTTACAGATTTAAGGTCTCATTATTGGTAAGCAATTACATTTCAAAGAGGTTTGTGGCTTTATGTCTTTGAAAAGTGCTCCATTTGCTGTATGGAAAACTTTCTTTGCATCTGCAGACACAGGTAACCAAAAAACTGTGATCAGGGGATGCGCACACACAACAGGGTTCTTGTTCAAACCGTCAAATGCAAGCAACAAACAGCTGAAGTTGGATTTCTCCTTTGTAATTTGAGTCTTTGTAATGTAAAATATTTTTGTGCTAAAGAAGCTTTTTACAGGTTGAATAAATTGTGCTTGCAAAGACACCTGCTCATGAATCTGGGTCAAGTTTTGAAGGGATTATGCAAAATGAAACAGATGTGGTGTATAAAACAAATTATCAAGATGCAATGCCCTAAAATATGAAGCAGACCAATCTAGGCATTACAACAATGTAATATGTAGACAATTTTCACCAATGCAGCCAGATATTTTGTGGAAGTACATCTGTCAGAACAAGCTCTGGAAACATGTTATGCTGTAGAGGTATACACAACTAATACAAGCAACTATCAAGTGATCATAAGTGATTATGATGAAGACATCATAATGTATTTCTGCTCTGGAATCCTGCGTAGCAAAAACGTCATATTGGAACCATATAAAACTTATATGTGATGACATGGTCTAAAGACTGAAAGCTGTGTTGTTGGAATGAAGCGTTGACAAGGACACAAACATGTACAATTGAGTTGTTCACACTAAACCTTTGAACCAAAAGTGAAAATAAAAGACTGAGCAGAAATAAGTTGCTTTACCATTTTTCTACTTCAGAACTAAACAACTCATTCAGTATCTACCTAAAATGATTTGTCACTACAATAAGTTCAACTCTGACCACTTTCTTCACTTTATACTTTATTATTCAGAAAAGTTCAGAAAAATATGTCTTGGTCTCTCCAGCTACATTACACAATTATATTCAGGATCACAATAAATAAGGGTATTTGTAGAATCATGTTTGTTTTCCATAATGTAATATATTCATTTTTATTCTTATACTTGTTTGGACAGTCACAACCTTGGTTGTATTACTAGTATGCAGAATGGACCCAAAGTAAAAAAAAAAAAAAAAGGAAACAAATAAATGTATTTTCATATTAAAACAATGAGTTGGTTGGTAGTTCATAATATAATTTTGTATCATGAATATGTGTACAGTTTTGATATTTTTACATATGGGATTTGAGAATCTTCTCACCAGCAGTCATGTTATTTTGTAGAAACAATTTGATCATTAAGTTAAATGTGATTAACGAAATAATAGTAAATTACAAGCTAATTTGATTAGAAAAAGAAATCACCTTTTTACATTGTAGCTAACTGGTGTTTTATTTAGAGTACGAGTAGTCTATTATTGCAGACATGATTACATTTGACAAGTTATTAATTTACTCTGCACTTAAACACCAAGAATTTTTGAAATAGTAAATATCACAAATAACACTTCCAGAAAAACAAGAACAGCAGCAGTTCAGAGAGAGAAGGCACAGTTGTTGCTAGGCATACTTGGCCACCGGAATGAAAACAGACGCAACAATTCAAAACCTTGTTAAAAATGAGAACCTTTGAATAAATTTAAAAATTCATGTAAGCTTTTAAAACACTCTTATGTAGTGAGAAAAGTGATTGTTTATTGCAAAGACTTTCTCAATAATGAATTTATGACATTAAAGAAGATTTCTGAGCATTTTTGTCAGATATACAAAAAAGAGACTGTTTCCTTTTTGGGAGAAATAGTAATTTAATAATGTGTGGGCATTTTGGTGAAAGCTTCTGGTCTAAATTGTCCTGATGGTAAATATATTATTGTATGTAATTATGGGCTTTAGTACCTTTATAAATTAATGGGATATTCCATTCATGCAAAAAAACTGAGCAAAGGAAAGATCGTTTGTGCTTTGCACCACTTCCTGTGCCTTGAAAAATAATTCACAACCCTTCAACTTCCTTTTCATTTTGTATCATTGGAAATATGAACATATGTGCATTTTATTGCAATTTATGTGACAGATCAACCTGAAGTAATGCATAACTGTGAAGGCAAGGAAGATGACATCTGATATTCAAACATTTTTTTTTTACAAAGAAATGCAGTGTTTTTGGCTTACACCGTCTCTAATACCTTACTCTGATACACCCAGATAAAATCCAGCATAACAAGTTGCTTTGAAATAAAGTTTAGCTGTCATAACATAAAATGCTATGACAGTGCTAAATAATTGATCTTAAAATAAAACTTTATTTTACGGAATAAAACAAAAAATTGTCAACAAGAATTCCTCACTAGAACAGGATGACATTGATTTGTATTGGTTTAAATGTTTTTGTGACCCGCTAGATAATTTTCAGAAATGAATCTGAGATGTTTATAATCATTAACAATGAAATTGTCAGTTGACAGTTGTAGCTTAGAGTAATTTCTGAAATTATACATGTCTTTTGTAGGTAATGACTTGACTTTTCAATCTTATTTTAATTGACACAAAACATTTCCTAAGATGTAACTCTAAACTTACCACATTCTTGTGGGCTTCTGTTGCTGCGAATAAGGACATTTTGGTTACCAGCGTGAAAGAGTCTTGTCCAGTTCACAGTGCTGTAGTAGCAGAGTTGGCTGTTCTCTGCAATGTGGACATTCCCAGCACTGATCTCTCTCAGGGACTGAAGCTGCAGTGATGAGATGCCCTGCTGTTTTAACACCAACAGGGAAATCCCACTGAGAGGGCAGAATAGGTGGAGGTGAGAGAAAGACATGGCCAAACAGGAACAGGGGGGATATGAGAAGAGAGAGAGAAAAGTTGAGGTTGAATACAGAATGGAAAGGGGGAAAAGAGAGAGAGAAAACAGGACAGTTTACTGAAGATAAGTTAATTTTATTGAGTTAGCATTTGTCTGAGCCCAAAGCAGAAGTGCACAAAGCACATTTTAATGAGCATCCCCCAATCCATCCGCCAATTTTTTTTTTTTTTTTTCTTTTTCACCTCGGACACAATTACAGATTAAGATGCCTTAATCATGCAGATGATGTTGCATCCAACACGGTTCATCTAAAGGCAATGTGTTCCCAATCTCAAAATGTGTTTCAAAAAAAATTGTTGGGACAGCAAAGTCCCAACTCAACTGAGTGTATATATACTCACCCACCCATCACCCACATATCACAGGGAAAACTCCTACCACCGTCATCACCATATTGTCTAAAGTGCAATTAAATGACCACAATGTGAACCAGTTAAACAACCTCTCTGTCTTTCTTTACTTTTGTTTTTAAAAGTTTCCCCCCATGTTTTGTTCCTTTTGCTCCACTTACAGTTTAAATATGGCAGAAAAGCAGCAGGGAGTCAGAGCCATCAGACAGACAGAGTACGCAAGATCAAGTACAGGGCAAAGGTGAGAGGCAGGCTATAATTTCTCCTGCTGTTTTCATCTGCATGCAGGTGCACAGCACATAACCACACTTTTAAAAAGATACACACACACCTAGTCTGCAGTATATAATCAGACATGACTTACAATATTACCATCCAAATGTCACTACCCGTTTCCAAGCACTTTTGCAAAAGGCAATGAAAAGTAAGTGATAAATAATTATGTTCCATCAGATGGGTTAAAACTACTTGAGTCTCCAAATGTCAAAACAAAATCATGACCAAAACCATTTCCAAGCAGTTTCCTTTGTAAGTGATAATTAGACTTGGAGAAATCTAAATTCAGAGCACTTAATCACAGGAAACGAATGTATTCACTAATGATTTTTATATTTAAAATGATGAAGATGCAAGAAGCAAGCTCCATTAAATTCCAATAGCTACTTGATGCAAATGATAAGTGCCAGATTTATAACAATATTATTTTGTAAACTATTGAGCTGATCCTAGCTCATCCAATTTTGCAAAAATAGTCCATATTTTGCAAAAATATTCCATATTTGAATAAGTAGGACAAACAAAAAGCAAAGGGAAGCTTTGTCAAACTGAAATAAAGCCTTGCACAACCCCGACCAAAAAAGCAATTTATTGCCAATCTGAATCCAACACTTTTGGGTCAGTGTTGAACAATTGTAATTAGGATTTATAAGCAGACTGATATCTTTATTCTCAGCCTCAATATCATCAAAATATCCATGTTTATGACTTAATGGACTGGCTATATAAATGTACATAGTTTTGTGAAACAATTAAACTTGCTATCAAAGGGATATGCAAATGAAGAAACTTCTTTCCTGGCTGAGGTTAGCTGCAAGTCCTCGCTGTTTACGTTTGGTGTAACTTCTTAAAGTTGCCCAGAACACTTCATTATGCGCTTAGTTCAGCAAAGACATTCTGCGTATGAACAGCTATCAAGTTACTGTAAATTCCATAAATCTTCCCTTATTTCCTATGAACTATGTGAATCTGAATGCACCTATTAGTCTGTCACTTTGCTGCTGGTAAACCTGAATTTTCCTATTGAGGGACAATGAAAGATATTTCTACTCAATTCTATTCTATTAGTACATAAAACTTTGGTTAAACACATATTCCACTGTGCAAATACGGGCATATTCACAACACATTTGCTGTTTCATCAGGTACCTGTACAGTGCTCTTCCCCCGATAGTTACTAGGTTGGAGAAAACACTCAGGTCAGTCATGTTCTCAGGCCAAGACTGGATGTTAAGGTAGCCTAAATAGAGAGAAATGCAAACACAGATACATAGGTTACAAGTCCAAGGCACAAAGATTGACATATTTCCAGAGGTAGCAATAGACTTCAAGCAGTTCCCACATTAACTGAGTGTTGACATGGAAACGCCACAGACCTTTGACTCAAACGCATGCCGTAGGATTGACTTATACAAAGAAGATTTTCATACCAATGCAAAGTCTGACACGTCAATGTTTTTTTTTTTTTTTTTTGCACTTCCTCCTGCTTCTCCTTTGTTGAATCATTTAAAGGATTAAATGAAAAGCTGGAATGATGGCTGTGGCTCATTTATAATTTTCAATAATGGATTCAGAGAATATGAAATATTTAGTAGAAGAACAGTGGGTGAGTACAATCCCCAAGCCAACACCAGAAGACAAACAAAACTATGGGTTAGGGAAACAAAACCAAGGCTAAATCCACAATGAAGAGATAGTACAGTCAAGAGAGGATGAAGAGAATGGAAGGAATTAATGTCATAGCAAATACAAAAAAAGCTATAATTAACAGCAATTATGTTAACACAAGAAGAAAAAAGCATAAAGGGCACAAGCTGCATTAATCACCACGTAGAACCAGCAGAAGGTGGTGGACGGCAATTAAAAAAGAAAGAAAAAAAAAAAAAACAGTCTGCGCCTTAGGATGTATAGCACATTCTTCAATCAATAAATAGTATTTGACATCATCATATTACGGTGCGTGATTTCCTCCCACTGGGTGCATAATATTGTTTATCCAAAAAGCGGCTTGTTGAAAACAGAGAGCAATAACCTTGAACAGCCTCTTTATCAGTTGAGAGACATTATTTGATTTGTAATGTCAATCCCAGCTGAGCGGCAGCAGCGTTGGGAAAATGTGTGTAAACAGCGTTTACAGACCAGAACCAGAAGACCTGAGTGGTCCGGAAGGCTGATACAACAACAGCAAATCTTTAATGTGGTCTGGTGCTAAAACGTTCAGTGAGTTATACACCAACAAACGTATTTCAAAGTCTATTCTCTGAGCCATGGGGAGTTATTGTAAGGATTTTAAAAATGGGGTGATGTGCTCTATCTTCCTGGCTTTAGTGAGAACCAGAGCCACAGAGTTCTGGATCAGCTGCCGCTGGAAGATTGATTATTTGTATATTTTTAGGCAGACCTCTGAGGACACTGTTGCAGTAATCAAAGATAAATGCATGGATGAGTTTCTCCAGATCTCGGTGAGACATTAGTCCTTTAATCCTGGAGATGTTCTTCAAGTGTCAGATGGCTGACTTCTTTCTCTGAATATGTCAACAAAGAGGTTTTGTTTGTTAATTAATCTGCTGAGTCCAGGTGTGAGTCCATCATTTGCCTTCAATCCATCCACCATATTTTGAAGTAAACACACAAATGCACACACATATCCTCTCAATGCAAACATAGTATTTAATTGAAAATAGTAAGTTGATTTAAATCAGTTTTCTTCAAATTGCTAACAACACTCACTTTTATTAAGTTAATAGAAATTTGTAGTTGAACAGTCTCCCCAGCACGCTCTACTTTAGATGGGTTAATTTAAACAGAGCAAGTTTTTGATAATTGTGCTTTTTTTCTGTCTTGGAAAGTACTTTGACTCAGTACTGTATGCTTCCAAGTGCATATGCTTTACTTGAGGTTTTATGGAAACTCATATCTTCAGGCCTGTTGCAAACTCTCTCTCTCTCTCTCTCTCTCTCTC